CAAAGAGTTATAGAAGAACTTTGGTAAAACTGACATCAATTTTGGACAATGATTCCAATTCTTTGCATGATTTCAATTCAAGTTAGAAATACCTTGATCCCAAAAGGGAAATAAAGTATTGTTTTGGGACTTTTTCCCCCCAAGACTAGTTGTAGGTGTTAACAGCTGTAGGCAGGAAGGATCCTCTGTAGTGGTCTGTTTGCAGCACTTCCCTCAATGATTTCTTTGAGAAATCATCTTCAGAGGTTCTAGAGGATTTTCTAGAACAGAACTGACCTTCTTTATCAGATTGTTGAGCTACTTTAAACAAAGCTGTAGATGAAAATACATGGATTTCCTGGAAAGTTTGAACTCAGTCCAGTAATGATGTGCTTTAGTGAAAGTTGTGTTGCTGCTGATCGCCTGAGGCCATGCATTCTTTATTACAAACACAAAACAATTTAAAAAACCTGCTATTGCTATGTCTTACCCGCCTCTTTAACTGTTTTTTAACTATTTTTTCCTGATTGTTGAGCAGATTCTCAGTCTCTCCTACAGAAAAGCAGCCCCACAGCTTGATGCCTCTATACTGCTGTAGGGCAGTGGTCCCTTTATGGGTCATTAAACATCAGAGTACGGGGAGTTGAAAATAAAAGCAAATTGAATAGAAAAGCTGATTGCTGGTAGCATAATCTGCAAAAAAATGTTACAGAGGTTAAAAATAAAATTAAAAAAAAGGTCAGAACACATAAAGATGACTTAAAAAGGACAAACACAAATAATTAATGATTGGCTCAATAAAGCAGAAGCAGGAGTAATATTATATTACTTTATTTATCTTTTGTACAATGTAATTACAATACAAATATGTTGGTTTAAATACAAAAACTTCTGTAAATAAAGATTAAAAATAAACTCCACCGGTTGTCTTTGTTACCATCACTAAGCTATAAGGTTTTACAATCAAGTTGATGAGGTCATTTAGTTTGCTTTGACGCAGAACACAATTAGCCTACATTTATAATTTGGAGGGCGTGCAAACGAGAGCCAAGGGCAAAAAATATGGACTGAAAGCCTCTACTTCATAGCCCAATCAATCAGTCAATCAATAAGTCAGACTTATTTTAGTAAAGAAAGAAGATAAAGAAAGCAGTTTGCTCAGATTGGATAGAATATTGATTTCAACCTAGAAGGCTGAGGTCTGGGAGGAGGTAAACTGGCTCAAAATAAGCCAGCTGTAAATAAATTTGGGTGATGGGAAATGTCTGAGAGAGGCGTTAAGCTCATTAAAACAAGCAGCAGGTAATGTTAAAAGTGGCAGTTCGTAATTATGCAGCCTAACAGGAGCATCTGATCAGATTATAGTTTAGAGAAGAGAGAAAAAGCCCTTTAAATATAAACATTTCTGCTTTTTAAATTCTGGATCTTCTCAGCGAGAACCAAACCCTCACTGACAGCTGACGTTCAAACTGTATCACGAGTTGCACATGTTTAGAAAAAATAAATCATGGACCTTGCAGATAGGTAATATGTTCTTTCAGACCAATCAGAGATGTTGTTTTAAAGTTTTTTAAAGCTGCAGAGCAAGAGAGTCTTCTGAAAGCATGGGACACCAGACACGCTGCTTATATTTTGTACCCAACAACGAATGTTTCTTAGCTCTAAACCAAACTTTCCCCTCACTTTTCTCTCTCCATTACCTCACTGCAAAAACGATCCAGAAATAAGTAATAATGTCTAAAATTTTGTGTATTTACCCTTAATTTGAGAAGGTAAATAAGATTATTTGCCAATGAAATGAGTATTTTTACTCTGAAAATAAGATAATTAGATAATATACACTTGAAATAAGACAATGCTATATTTTTTTCTTATTTTAAATTTAAATTGTGTTGTTCCATTGGCAAAGTGTTTCAATTACTAGCCTTGTGAGACCATCCTGATCTCGCGAGCTTTCAAGGTTTCACTCACAGATCAGTCTGGAGACTCTCCGTTAAAGAAAATTTGGAGCAGTTCACCAAACGAACGTCCAATCAGCGTTGGCTTTGAGGCGGGTTGAGGTGTGATGCAACGAGAAGCGCGACAGTTCAGTCTAAAGAACATGGCGGCTTCAGCCGATGAAGCTAGCGTTAGCATGGCTATCGAGCAAGTTTTATCGGAATTACAGAGTATTTCTTCACTGAGAGAAGAGCAAAACACTGCTCTGGAGGCTTTTCTCAGAGGAAAAGATGTTTTTGCTCTTCTCCAAACTGGTTTCGGCAAGAGTTTGATCTATCAATTGGCTCCTCTTCGTCGTCATATGCTTCGTTGATCTGATTGGTTTATTTGGCCCGTCTATCACCAACATAGGCCAATCAGCTAACCAGTATTTTCGCCCCTTCCCAAAATTACTTCAACGGAAGGTTTCCAGATGGATATGCCGAGCAAATCCATCCGTCAGGTTACTCAATTACCACCTCAGCTCAAGAAAAAATGCACTTATTTTAAAAAAATTACTTATTTAGGTTTACATTTTTTGCAGTGTAGACAGTCCTCTCATGACTCTGTTCCCCATTCATCCCTCAGTCTCTCACATACGGCTTTTCCTCCGCCATAGCATCGTGTGCTTCTGACTTTAAATTTCCAACTGGAACTTTGTTTTACATTCATCCAACATGGCTATACTAGTCTCTCGTTATCTGATTTCTCTTTTCATCGTGAAATCAGCGAAGATATCCTCTTTTAAATAAACCTTTTTTCACATCTTGTTCTCCTCCAACCACTAATATCACTGCAGTTTATTGGGATTTTATGCGAAACCTGAAGGTTCAGTTTTTCTATTAGCGCAGTGACCATAAGTAATGAAGTATTCAGGGTCACATCAACCACACTGATGTTTGTGGTTGAAACACAACAAAAGGTGTAAATACTTTTGCTAGGTACTGTAAGTGTAGCAGTATTGTAGTACTTAAAGAGGTGATTACACAATCATTACTGTACATGATGAGAGTATACCCTGTTTGAGGAGACGGATGAGGATTTCTGAACTTTGGAATGTAGTGCATTGTTTCTACAGCGTTGCACAGTGTTTAGGAGGAGGATTTTATTTTTTTCCACTGAGTTGTTATAGTTTCTTGGGTTGGTTGGTGAATACAGACAGGTCTGTGTGCTCTACTGTATGTGCTGGTTATCCTGAAGTAGTGTTTCATGCCCTTGTTGTTAGGCGATTATAAAAGTAAGCTACACATCCAAGTGACGCCACACCGATTTATCGGACCTCAGCAGCAGTGAGGTGGAAGAAACATGCGGCTATATACACCGGTCTGACCTGTGCCAGTACGCAGCTGGAGTGGAAGTTGTGGTTATTTGGTTCCTGTTACATGATTAGGATTCCTTTCTCTGCTGATAACTCTCTGCTTTTTAAAATAAAAAAGAAATTAGTTGGGATAAAAAACTAAAACATGCTTCTGAATCTCAGTTTCAAAGTAAGGGTTTTGAAGGTACACATAACATGTCGAAATCAAAAAGCAATAAATAAAATAATTTTGGCCATAAATCTCTATTATTGGTCAGTAAGTTGTTTAAGTTCATCCTTTCAGGCATCCAGACGTCTGACCTGCTCTGCTGCGATCAGCATCGACGTGTCCCTTGGGTCTGTTCCGTTCTTCTCCACAATGTTACCACACAACATAACATTTTCGCCATTAAGAAAAAACAAGCAAAACATCCAAAACTATCTTTTTGGATTGGAATGCATTCAAGTGGAGTCCACCTTTTCTTTTTTTTTTTAAAGAAAAGAAAGCACTGAGCAGCGTCCACACTGCGGTGCTTTCAGTAGGAGGAACATGCAGTATATGCAGGGACCTGCAGCAGGGATAGTCAAGCCAGAGTGGAGAAGTGATAACAGGAAGGAGAGGCTGGGAACTGATGGACTGAATGGATTCACTTTGTGAAGTCTGGAAAGCTGGAAACCCGACCGCATCCCAGCAGACATCTTTGTTCTTTTCTATCTCACTTGGGACCGTAAAGAAAGAAACTAAAGTAATTGTAGTACCGACCCCAAGGATGCCACAGGCAGGATGCTTGGCCAGCTGAAAGGACCTGTATACCGTTTAAGCAAAAATCCTGGAAAAGCTTCCCATCTTCCTTGGGGGGTTTAAATCCAAAGGAAGATCTACATTTGTTAGAGACAGGCTGTGACTCAAAGCTCAATCTCAAAGGTCTTTTGCAGACTGTTGGAAAATGGGTTGGCAGCTGCAGCCGCTGCTTTGTTCCCCGTTGGTTGCGTCGCTGCTTTTGTCTCCAGTGCAGCCCACTTGGCCTCGAATCGGTCATCGTCTTGAGGGTCGCTGGCCACCGGTGCGGTTAACTGGCTCCCCTCTGGTGGCCAGCTGCCAACATTTGCGCCACTGCTCAAGGTCCCATTAATTGCCGTTGCACTAGTGTGGGCTGGGAGGCCGTTAATGGCTGTCGACAAAGGTGGGGTGGAGGAAAATGTAGCTGCGTTAAACCCTGAGGTGTGCCCAGTTGCACTGGCCACTCCAGGATAGGAATGGTGATGCCCAACTGTTCCCAATGGCCCTGCTTTAGACCCTCCAGCAGCAGAGCCCATGGTCGAACCCGTGCCTGATGAACCTGTAGCGGTGCAAAAGGCATTGGCCACCATTTGTGATGGTGTGATGCCTACGACCGGCACGCTGGCGTTGGGGTAGGTCATACTGCTGGCCAGACCGGGCATGTAGGTCTGCATGGGCATAAAGGCAGGCTGGACCGGCTGGCTGGCAAACATCCCAACAGGGGCGGGAGTTGCATCAAAAGTAAGGGGAAATGGTTGCATTGCACTTGGAAGGGAGCCAGGGGCCCCGGGCAGAGAGCCCTGCATCATAGAGGCTCCAGACATGCTTGGACCAGACATAGTTGGGATGGACATGGATGGGAGAGACATAGGGGGTCCAGACACCGGAGGACCTGGTATCAGAGGAACAGATGATATTGACATGGGTGGAAGAGGCATTTGAGTTTGACAGGGAAGAACAGAGGGGCCAGAGAGGAGAGGTTTGGACAAAGTGCCGAGGGGCATTGGGACAGTGGACACGGCGGCAGAAGACAAGGTTGCCTGTGTGGTTATATGATGACTGGTAACAGGAGGGGGCCCTGGGATAGCAGGAATGATAGGGCCAGGGGGAGGCGTCTGTTGGGCTTTAACAGCCTTAGATACCTCCTCCAGCCATCTCTCAGCCTCTGAGGGGGTGCGTTTGTGGCCACTCTGCAGAGCTGCAGAAACTGGAGGAGGAGACTGTAGAGAAGGTTCCGGCTGCACCCAGGAGGAGGTGGCTGAGAGCAAAAATAAAGAGCTTTAGAAAGTGATAACACTCCATCTATGGCTATCAATCACCATAACTCCTTCTTACCCTGGATAGGTGCAGGCGGTGGAGGCAAAATTGGGGGCACAGTGCAGGTCGGAGGGCAATTTGCAGACATGGATGGGTTGGAAAAGAGCTCATCTGATGGCTTGGCGAAAGATGTGTTGATCTGGCTACACAGTGCATTAATACAGCTGTCTCCCTCAAGTGGCAAACCCATGTCCATCTCTGGTACCAACAGGATGGCAAAACACAGAAGAAAAAAGAAAACAGAGAGCAAAGAGAGTCAACATTTTGGCAAAAATAAGATTAAGAAATGTGACAATCGGTTAAAGGAGGAAGTAGGTTTTGCCTGTTGAGTTACTGATCCAGTTTGGAACAAAGGAAACTATAGTTAGGATTCAATAATGGTTTCTTACTGATGTAAAGGATGTCTAAAGAACAAGGTAAGTTCAAGGGAACCTTTTTTTCCCAATACCCCAAAGTAATATGTATGTTGCATAAATTTAGCTTGTAAAAAGGTAGTTATACCTAGCCTGGCCAGCCACACTGGGCCAGTCTGGTAAGGCTCAATACTGTCCAGATTCAAAAAACAGACTGGACCAATCGCAGCAAGGGAGGCGGGGCCATAATGGAGCAACGCTTTTCTGTAGCCATTACAGTCAAGATGGCAGCTGCAATTGAGTGATATTTATTAACGCCATTTAATGTTCCAAAAAATATTGTTAAAATGTCAACAACTTGCTGCTCTAAGAGCTTTTCTTTTTTAGATTAAACATGTTTTTGCTTCATATTTATAATTATCTCATTGGTTCTAAATAGTTTCCCCTAAATCTTTTAGTCATACCTCTGAAATCCAGCTCTATCCACTTTCTTCCAGACTTATATGTCGTTTACATTATCATTGCCAGTCTAGTTTATACCAAATTCTTTTTTTTCTTTTTGCATGACAACCTTAAAAGTTCACGTTTTATTATTGAGACTTTATGTGATGAATACGTACAATGTGGAAGGAAATAAAAGATTTTTTAATTTTTCTTTTTACAAATAAAACTTGGGAGAATCGCCTTTGCTGTAACTACAGCTATAAGTCTTTGCTTTATTTCTCCTTGACCATTCTTCTCTAAAGATAAAATAGGCTGAGTTTAGTCAGTATGGATGGAAAGCAAGTGCAAACATGTCACAATGTTTTAAAGTCTGGTTGCTGATTCCTGTTTGGATTAAGGTTCGAACTTTGACTAGGCCATTTAACTCATTTTTAAGCTTTGCTCTGGATGAATGCTGCTGTTTCTGGACCGTTGTGCTGATGGAAGGTATTAAAAATTCTCCCCCCAGTTTCAAATCTCTTATTATCATGTATTTATTTTCATCCATTTGCATTTAAGTCTGGCCAGCTTTCCTCGCTGTGCTGAAACACATGCATCCATAGAACATAATGCTACCGTTACAATGTTTCATGATGGGTTTAGTTCTATGCTGCATGGAGCATTTTGCACTTAGAAGAAAAAAAATCTCTCTTTTGGTTCCATCTAAGCAAAGCATCTGCTAGATGGCTTATGGCTGAAAGCTAGCGACTGCTCCCTTAAGGACGAGTTAAACGCAGAGAAGGAGAATGCACAGATGCAATGACAAACAGAGGTGATTATCATAAAGGAAGCAAAATACAAGGGCTGATGCCATGTTTAGTTTTTTTTTATTTTTATAAAACATTTTCCCCATTTAAGGCTGGGTGCAACTTTGTGATGGTCTGTCACACTAAACACTGAGGAACGAACGTGAATGAAACCTTTAAGGTCTATGAATTGTTTTGCTTTTGCTGTTTATTTTTTCTTTCCTCTATGATGCCTTTTTTCTTCCCTTCAGCGTGTTAAATTGTAAAGCTCCAGGGTTTGGATTATACTGGGTTTTGGAAGCATATTATAGGTCTAACTTTAAGTTTTTCCTCTGTGTCTTGTTTTGCCTGAACTAAGCTTTATTCTCATCATCCAGCCTGTATCCTGCAGAGTCTAGAAGCTCCAAGACTTTAAACACATTACTGCGGAGGAAGTGTGCTTGTTTGTTTGTTATTCCCCTGGTAATGGTAGCTTTGTTCATTTCTAGAGGTTGTTCTGATTGGTCAACTTGATTAGCAGGCTGACCCTACAGATCAATAAGTGATTTATTTCTAATGTCACAAGGGAGCAAAGAGCAAATATAATGGCCTACTACCTTTTCATTGAGAACATAATATACGTATTATAAGAAACAACTAACATTAGATTCAACCAAACTTTAAATTAAAGCATAAACTTTGAACCAGAGATCAGGGATTTCTAATGCAAACTAGTACATATCACTATGTGAATGCGTAATTATCAACCAGCTATGTACAAATTATCCCTTATTGTCATATTAAAAACTATAAGTGAATAATTAAAATGTATGGAGATGTAAGTTCTCAGTGAAAAAGGAATACTTAAACCCATTCAGTTAAGGGTAAACGATCAAACCATAAAATAAAATAAAAACTGTATAGTAATGATCCTACAATCAACTTATCGTTTAGTGTTTGTAAAAAAAACCAGGACTGATGCTTCTTTCCATTAAATAAAAATGTATGCTAATAAAAAAAAACTGTGACATATTTTGTCATTAAATTAGTCAGTTGAAACAAATGTCACTGGATGAATGCTTTAATAACGCTATATTTTATTGCCCATCTTTCAAATCCTTTATTTTGTGGACCGCTCATTTTTATTCTGCAGGTTCAAAGTTTATGACTGAGGGTTATGAAGGGAGCTTACAGTTACTCTCTGCAGAGCATTGAAGTTTTTTTTCAAACTGAGTCAGATATATATTTTGTGATTCAAACCAGCAGGTAAAAAGCAGATAAAAAACCAAAATAAAAAAGTTGAAGTCCCTATTATTAAGGTGCTGTAAATGCATCATTATGCCAGATTAAAGCTGTTTACCAAAACAGTAATAAATCCCCCCACCCTATAACAGCTTTATATCAATTGCATTAAATTAAGATAAAAACTTTGTATACCACATTATTTGAGAAGGAAGTAATTTTATCTGTATTATATTAAAAATCATAATACTTAATCCATCAATTAACTTTATTAATTTTTATTCAAATTCAAATCTCCGTTTTGCTGAAAATAGATGAATTAAAAATGGAAGTTGCAAAATGAGCCAATATTTAAAGGGCAAGAAAAAAAAAAAAAAAGCATAAAGGTAGGAGGAATATAATCTAATGAACACATTTATAAAACATCCTCATAATATTCACCTGTTTTGCTGCCCTTCCTATATGGAAGAGGAATGAATATCAAAGAAAAAATAGGTGTATTTTTTCTGTATTCTTACCAAAAAAATTGACAAAACTAGAGCTTATTGAACAGTTTAGTTTTAAGAAACACAAGGTCACTAAGGTTGTAGGGTCAGCAGGCGTCTACACTCACCAGGGTTCTTGACTTCAAAGTCCGTCTTGCGTTGCAGAGTGGAAGGCAGGTCGTTGAGACGCAGTGACAGCTGTCTCTTAAAAGGAGAGTTCTTCTGGCTCAGAGCAGGAAATCCCCTGAATGAGCCTTGGCGCACAAGCTGTTCAATGGGTGCATGGCGGCGAGGGATAGCATGGGGCCCGCCGGGTTCTGGACGCTCCATCGGGGACGCTGTCCCCTCAGGTGGAGAGGCGGAGCCAGGAGGTAGAGATGGGATGACAGAGGGTGGATCTAAGGAAAACAGAGACAAGTCAACAGTGGTTTATAAAATTTTCCAGGAAATTCATTTAACAGTTAAAAGAAAGGAAACTTTGAATGTTAATGTCAGCTGTGGGGACTTGGATCACTTTCCTACCTTTCTTTTTATCCTGAGGCTTCTCATCTCGCTCACTGCTGCTGCCCTGCTGGCTGGAGGAGGAGTTGATGCGAAAGGAGCCTTCACGCACAAACGAGGTGCGACTGGCGTCAAAGGAAGCCGTCACGCCACACTCCTTCTCTCTTCGCTGCTTTCTCTCCAGACAGGCAGCAAAGGCACAGCCGACTGCATGACTCAATCGCTCACCCTGGTATAAACAAAAAAAGTCATTAACACACATAGCAGAAGGAACTGCTCTATAGTCATTAGCAGTAACCCAGGCTAACTTTTTTCTTTTATTAATCTTTTCCACTTTTCTATACAGCACTGCTTCATTTTCTGGAGTTTTTCAGACATTTGTTCTTGTAAATCTCTCTAAATATCCATTATTTGACTTGATTTATATATTTTTTTATTCACTCTGTTCTACATGTAGCCTACTGCTTGTGTGGGATGCTTGACTACAATTGTGTAAGTCTATGATACAGAGAAATTCTATCAAGGCACCAACGCAGGTTCTAAAGCTAGAAAAAAAGCCCAATGAGTTTTATTTTTTATTTTTGGGCTGATATGCTTTATTTTACTGTATTGGAGTATGATTCAGTGCAGTAAAGGAACTAAATATTTTTTACTACTTATTAGAACACAGAATATTGTTCTGGAAGCTTTTTCATTTAGATCCAACTTTGCAAATTTACAGAAGAGGATTAGGGCCACTGGAAAAAAAAAAAAAAAAAAGTTAACTGATGTTTAAATTTTATTTTCAGTTTAACATGGGGAAAAAGGCAGAATTCTGACTCTGAGATTAAAGTCAAAATTCTGACTTTTTTCTCAGAATTATGACTTTTTTCCCCCAGAATTCTTACTTTAATCTCAGAATTCTGACTGAATTCTGACAATAAAAAAAGTCAGAATTCTGAGGAAAAAAGTCAGAATTCTGACTTTAATCTCAGAATTCTGACTTTTTTCCTATACTATACTGAAATAAAATTTAAAAAAATCAGATAACATTTTTTTTTTTTTCCAGTGGCCCTAATCCTCTTCCGTACAAATTAAAGTTGGAATTAACTAAAATGCTGCTTTCGTTGGCAACTCTTTACATAAAAGTGATACATATAATATGGTTTTTGTTTTTTTATTTAAATAAATTAAAACCTTCAATATGCTTACAGAAACCTGTGTGAAAATCTAGAGCTTTTGCCTTTTTTAAACATATCTCTAAACATCTAGCTGGGGCCGTGACTCTCAATTTCGTTCTACCTCATGTAACACGTGATGTGAATGACAATAAAGTCTCTTGAATCTTGAATCACACTTTGAGAATCGGAGGTTCGTTTGGTGTGGATATTAAATGGTTAAAACTTTGCCAGTTGCCTTTAACATATTTAACTTGAAAATAATCTTTCTTACAGCAGATAATTATGTTTCGTCAGTTGAATTGCAATGAGAAGAGATCTTAAAAAGTAAAAACAACAAAAAAAAAAAAAAAAAAAAGCAAACTAAAGATTTTAATAAAAGATTAATAAAAAATGTTAAAATATTACAGTGGTAAAAAGTATTGACAGCATAAAATGTTGCTGTCTCATTTCCAGAACTTGATAGTTCCAGACGTCAGATAAAGTATAGCTATTATTTGTTTGATGATTAGTTTAGATTTAAAGGACTGGATCACATTCAAATTTGGGTTTAATTAAATTTATTAGGATAAGGTTTTTAAATCTGTCGCATTGTCAAAAATCAACATGAATTAATGGAACTTCAAAGAAGCCAATTCCTTCATATTTTCTCCATAAAAATGGTGGCTCTCTGTTTCTGCAGCTTCACTGTACAGAAAATGAGTTACAGAGCCTGAAGGAACACTATAGCTGAAGAAGTAAGGATATAAAAGCCGTAGTGATGAAAACAGAGAGAGACAACAACACAGAATGAATTCTGGTAAATCCCCTCTTCTAATCCTGCAGGTCTGTCCTTTGACTTTCCCTGCACAGATTATTAATCCAGCAAAACATTTAAGGCTTGTTGAGAAAAAAAATACTCAAAGAAGCACTAATTCTTAACATGAAATAGAAAAGAGGTAAGAAAGCAATGCATATGTAGTTAAAAACCATTATACTTTGAAATGTTTACCCTAAATAACTATGTATAAGCACAGGGCGCCATCATCCAGTCCTCAATTGTAGCTTTAAGATGCATCCATTCTTCAACAAACCCGAATCAAATGTCTCAGATGTCCCTCATAAGCGTATGCAGAGCTCTTGTGTCGAGCCATGCCACTATTAGTCTAGGTGAGTTGGAGAAGGTTGCTGCATAGCAGCTCTACACAGTTGAAACTGGGCTCCCCTGATTTTAAAACATATTAATAAAAAAAAAAACTCTTTAAACACTTTAAATAACGAAATCCAAGAATATTGGTGCTAACCAATAGGAGTTAGGCGACATTTCAAGGTACCAGAACTCAACGTTTCCTCTCAACAAAAAGTCTATGCTATAAAGTTTAAGCTTTAAACAAAAGCAGCAACTTTTATCCAGATGGACAAGATCCACACATTATAAACACTCCTTTCAGCCTTTAACTGCTGCTAAGGACCAAAGCAAATATTAGTTTGTTTTTGTTTGTTTTTTTAATATAGTTTAAGATTTACAGAAGTCTTTTTTCTATGGGTAAAAAGAGGAACACGTCTCAATTTTCTAAAATCATCTTCATTATTAGTACCAACTTAAACTTCGCCTCCACCATGGGCGTAGGTTTGCATAGGCACCATAGGGACAAGTCCCTACCAAAACTTGGACGGACCTACCTGTCCCTACCAACAATTAGATGTGAATTCCATGTTTATAATTTACAATACAGCGTTGTTGCAGCAGTAGAGGAGTTCTGGAATGGGAAATATAGACAGACGAAAACATGTTTTATCTAAAATGGAAGTTTTTTTTTTTTTTTTTTTTTTTTTTACAATTTTGGTATAATTCTTGCTCTTAGTTGGTCGCTCTGTGAGCTAAAGACATCTTTTAGAGTCTCGATACTCCATAATGATCAATCGATTACTAAATTTGTTGACATTATTTCAATAATTGATTAATCCAATGAATTGTTTCAGCCATAAATAAAATACATGAAATGGGTTAAAAAGAGTAACTACAGCCTAGATGTAGAGCTTGTAGAGTGAATTTAATATATTAAATGCTCAGTGTCGGTTCTTATTCTATTTCCAGTGCTCATGTAAATTAAATACATTTATTTGGCGTCCCTTGAATCTATTATTTTGTTTAGTCTTAATGATACAAAGAGAACATTTAAAAGATAAGAGTGGGCTTTACCTCTGTTTACCTCTGCACAATCCCATATCTTCAAAAAAAAAAGTATAAATCCACATATAACAGACGTATTTAGACTATATTCTGTTAGATTTTCTTACTGTCTTAGGTAATTTCAAATGCAAACCTTTTCAAAGTGGACAAAAGTCCTATTTCCTAATTCATCAGAGCCAGTAAAGCGTCAGTCATTGATAAACAGCATCTAGTGTGTGTAGTGCTTATAAAATTTGTATAAATGTAGCAAGAAATGCTGTTTTTCTCTTCAAACGAAATACACCCTGATTTTCACGTAAAGCATAAAAAAAACGAGCATGCATTTTTTTGCATAGGACCAATGACATCAGACCAACAGTGTCCCTACCAAAGTTGAAATCAAACCTACCACCTTGAGAGCTTCAACAATTCTTATGTTTCTCCCAACCTAGACCAGAATCCCTCCTCTTTTCAGCAGTGTCCTGAGATTTTCAGCAATAAAACTGAGCGATGTCAAAGCCACAACAATGACAATGAGAGAGTGTTCCTGTAGTTAGGATTAGAACCTGCTGCTTTAGCCATTAACATGCTATCATTTCACAGTGTCTACTCAGTAAAACTGAAAGGTAATCCCTTCTTTAAATCAGAGGACATTTGGAACAATTCTTCTTGTTTTTAGCTCATTTTATTCACTTATTTAAACTGAGTCAAACATTTAAAGTGTTTAAAGTACTTTCTTTATTGCTACATTTGTATTTTTAATCAAAATAGACCTTTTTTTGTTTTTTTGAATATAGTACATACGTATTATAGATATATATATATATATATAGTATAGTGTATGTTTTAAATTGTATACAGCTATAGATTCTTTATTCTATATATATCTCCATTTTAAAATGCAACTCAAAACCCATCTGTTCAAGATTGCTTATTCTCTTTCAATATCAATTTCACTGTCACAGCCTTTGTATTTTTTTAAATGTTTTTATTTTGATTTTTTTCTGACACTGTTTTTATTTTTTTTGTACGGTGACCTTGAGTGTCCAGAAAGGCGCCTTTTTAAATAAAATGTATTATATATATATATATATATATATATATATATATATATATAGTACAAACCTACTAGGCTATAAACTCGATTCTGATTCAGTTTGTTTTTTTTCCATGCCGGTCTCTCTTGTAAAAGAGACAGTCTGTATCAAAGTGAAATGAAAAAAAAAAGATAGACACCTATTACATTAAGGAAAGTTAAATATACAATATTGTAAAATCTTAAAAATCTGTTAATTCACGGGGAATGCTTTCGGATTCTAGTACATCACAACATAAATGTGTTGAATATTTGAATTATTTCCTTCCTTTTTCACCACAAACTGTTAATAAATTAACATTTATTACAGTTAAACGTCGCAAACCCCATGCTTAGATTATTTTAAACCCTCGTAACAAATGCTATACCCATAAGTTCCCATAAAAATCCTCCTTTATTTCAGGAGCTTCTTTTAACCTTAAACCTAAAAATTCTTTGGACTGGATTTTGTTTTTTTACACTGATTGCAGCTTCTTGAAACACTTTTTATTTTCCTTTGAGAACCTGTTTTTGTATACAAAAAATATCCAAAGCAAATTTTCAAACATTTTCATCATCTCACAGGATTGTCATCATTGATCATCGTTAAATCCTGGGTACCACCATCGATTTCCAACACTGCTTTGAAATTTAGAAAACATTTTACTTAAGAATATTGGTGCCATAGATTAGAAACATTTTCTGGAATCTAAAGTTTGTTGAAAGGATCCAGGTTCTGGTGCTGAGTTTGGGGATGTGTGTGAGATTTGCCGCAGCCTCACCGAGTCTTTCAGGGCCATGAAGCAGTGGCACATCCACCGTCTGGTGGTTCCGTCTCTGCAGATGTAGGAGAAGGCCTTGTCATAGTTCCGGTCAGGAGCGCAGAAGGAAACCTTCTCTATAGTCTGGTCCACAATGAGGTCCTGACAGAGGAAATCAGACAAAGACAGGAGAGAGGCAACCGGAATCAGACAGGACATTCCAGGGAAAAATCCACTGCTTGGTTTATTTATTCAAGGCCTAGATAAAGAGAAACAGAAAATCCTGGCCCAAACTTGCCCCTGGATTGATCCCAATTACTTGACCCACTGCTTTAGGTCCTCATTCGCCTCCTTTCACTCCAGCATATTTACAAACCCACTGATGACAGAAAAGGCCTCTAACTACCAACTAATGACACTGACCCTCTTTGAATCTCTGGGCCGCCTCCGCTGCCTGCCCTTCTTTCAGTGAAAGGGTGATTCAGCTCTCAGAGTCTACAGTCACCATAGATGAAACTAAGAGGGGGGCCCTGTCTTTCTCTGTGTACATTAAGGGGCCCCCGGCTCGGCTCTTTGACTCGCACTCAAACACAGAAGGAGGGAGAAACAAGAGGTGAAGGGGAGACGAAAGGGAGCAGGGTTCACACACTCATCCACACACTTCCTTCCTGTGTTTCTGAGCCGGTGAGAAAACAAGAAGGGCATTGGAAGAGGAGAGAGAGGGAGCGAGAAGGAGGACTAGAGAGGAGGAGAAAAGGAAAGAGAGATGTAGAGGGAAAGAATGGGAGTCCATTCAATCTGGGCCAATTAGTGAATCAAAGGGGATGCTGGTACCAAGGTGAAAGGCTGGGCAAAGGCCAGTGTTTCTGTGGGTGTGTGTGTTTGTTCTCCTCATGGGTGTCTGTGAGCCGTGGAAAACACAAAACAATCTGATAACGCTTTATTTAAAGATTTATATAATAACAATGAACAGAGGCTTTGATGGAGACGTTCCCTATAAAGAAAATGAAAGAAACAGAAGATCAGTGCACCTCATGACTCACAATGAGCTTCATCTAGAAAAGCAACGAGTTTGAAGCCCCAACAGCTGCTGAAAGAAATGAAATAAAGAAATAGCGCCGTTTTATTCCCAGCTATCGGTTCACGGCGAAGGTGCAGCAGAGGTTCATGTTAAACAGAAGCCTAAATGTGCCTTCAGATCCTATACTGTCTATAATGACTGTGTGGGTTTAATAAAAGAGTACAGAATGATTCATCGAAAGCAGAGGAGGAAGAGGAGGAGGAGGAGGACTGCATTAGAAGTGGTTGGAACTGCAGAGCATCTATCAGTGTCTTAAGAAGATATATCCTCAATCATTGGTCAGAATTTATTGCGTTTTTTCTGCTTTACCTACTGAAAAATAGCTCCTATCTTAATGAAAGCAGAATTTCTCTCTCAGTTTTTATCTGAAAGATGCCAAAATCTATATCGAATGAGAAACCTCACTTTATTTATCGCAACAAGCAGCTCTTTCCTTAATTATCGTGCTTGCTTTATGTATCATGTACACTAAAACACTGATTTTCTTAATATGTTGACTTCATAATCAAACTAGGGCTGCAACTAACGGTTATTTTGCTAAAAGATTAACCTGTTGATTAATATTTCCAATTATTTATTAATAATTGGATATTCAAAGGTTCCTTAAAGAAGATTCTTTAGGAAATAAAACCAGGTAAAACTCTAACTTTTCTACTTGACGAGCTCTGGGTGGAGCGTTCTGACAGAGGAAAACATTTTTTTTAATCTTTTTTTTTTTTTACAATTTTGGTAGAATTGCTGCTGAAGGTGTGTTGCTCTGTCTGCTAAAAGCATGTTTTAGTCTCTACCCTGCAGTAAACGATCAATTTGTTGTTCTCCTGAGAAAGAAGACGCTGCATAAAACCTGGATAGTCGAGAGACGCAATCCAAACCAGAAGTTTGCTTTAAGTTTTAATTTATGCTCTATATTAAAGCTTTTTTATGTATAGAAATGACAGCTGACTGCTGTTTGTAAAGATTAAATTAAGTTTTTTGTTTACTTGATCATCTTTATTTGTGCCAATATTACTAGAATTTCCCCATTGTACGACAATAAAAGTATTTTCTATTTTATTCAATACCGTTCTGTCAAATCAAGAGGAAACCTAATCCTTTGCTCCATGGACTTATTACCTAATTCAATACCTGCAGTTTGTCCCCTCCCCTGAGGCCAAACCCTAACCCTAATCCTAACAGTGGTGGATGAGAAACCTAAAACTGAGGTAGGGGATTTTATGTGACACGTCAAAGTTGTGCACTACACTGAAAGAAGTGAATTGTCCATTTAATTCGGTCAAAAGTTGATGTTGTTTCAACTTAAAAAATGCATGTGTGGTTTGAAACCAATAATTTCACTTAACCTGGAATTAAAAATCCCTTATCACAGAAACAACCAACTAAAACAATTATTTTCCAAGTAAATATCTACTTCAAGTCAAAGGTAATAGTGTCCCTAGGAGTTTATCCTTCCACATGCTTAAAAAAAAAAAAATAATAGGATCGAACTAATGATCTTTTAACAACTAAAGGTCAAGCTCTAAGTTATCATGAATTATAAATATAGTTGGATCAGAATTAAGTTTTTATTCTTTGAAATAAATACAGTTTTACATTTTTGTCAGCACTTTATTCCAAATTAAATTTATACTTGTATGTAATGGTACAGATTTCATTTTTCCAAATAGAAAAAAATAGATTATAAAAAAGCATAAAACTTGTTTATAATCTGTTATAAGTTATAGTTTTACTTTGTATGAATGTACAGTGAACCCTCGTTTATCGCGGGGGTTACATTCCAAAAAGAACCCGCGATAGGTGAAATCCTTGAAGTAGAAACCTTTATTTAGTTATTATACAATGAAATACTCCATACAACATTGAAATCAAGGAACAAAAACTTTTTACAGGCCCAAGCATTTGTTTAACAAATAAAAGTACGGTATAAACGTTGTTGTCTGTTTTTTTGTTTTGTTTGTTTTTTACAAATAGCTACTGTACTGTACTGTAAAATAATATAGTTATAAATAAATAAGTAATAATTTTAATCATCAATACAAAATAAAGGGTTAATATTGCGGGGATCAGCACCGCCCCGCCGTGACGGATTGGAACGGGAGAAAATGAAAAATTATTATGAAAAAAAATACAAAGTACAGTAGGACAAATAGTGACTGACGTGTACAGTACAGTATTTCACTGCTGTTCTGACAGAGCCGCTTCATTCTGACTCTGCTCTGTGGTGTTTTTTTCTTCTAAAGCCTGCGGCGCAGGTGTGTGTTTTTGGAGAGAAGAACATAGTTATCGGTAGTTGTTGTCGCTCTTTTTGGCCAAAAGATCCTTATAAACCGACATGCCACCATTAATATGTTTGACAATAAAGTTTAACAATGCATGATGCAAATCCGTGAAGCAGCGAGACCGTGAAAAGTGAACCGCGTTATAGCGAGGGTTCACTGTAGTTTCTTTCTTTGGCTTAAGGTAAAATATATATTTCTAGTAAATCAAAATGTATAGTTTCAACCACATCAGAAACTTAAAGCTACAGTGTGTAACTTTTAGCGACATCTAGCGGTCAGACTGCAGACTGCAGCAACATGAACATCCCCCCCCCACCGCTTCTCCCCCCAACAGTACGGCGAGCGTTACTTACAGATTTATTTACAGATAGTATTTCATTAGTCTGTGTAGGGTATAGATTTCATGTAGACTTAAGATAATAAATATACCCGTTATTTTTTCTACATCGTTGTGACGTTTTGGCGATTTCGCAATCGCTAGTTTGTTGGCTCTGCGCTGCCGTAGCGCAAAGATGTCTGCCTCCATGGCTGCGAGACCCGCTCCTATGTAATTATAAATAACGAATTCTAAGGCAACGCAAATATTAAGGTTAAGAGGCTGAGCTCGTAGATGATGATAAATAACATAGTTATGTATAATATATTACATTTCTGACTGTATATCCCTGTAATTATTACACACTGTAGCTTTAATTTGAGACAAAGTAATAAATTTAGGTGTAACAAATTACAGTAATTTTTTTAAGTTGATCCAAAGTATCTTTTTTTTCAGTGTAGATGGCTGTAAGTCTCACAAACTAACCACAGGTGAGAAAAGGAGCCGTTTCAAATGCATATTAACATAAATACAACAGGAATGCTGGAAGAAACTGGAAATAATACCAAAGCAATACAACATAGAAAAAAATATAGAAACACGGGACTTTTAGCTATTTTTTTTTGTCACTTTCTTCAGTTTTCTAGAGTTTTAAATTACCCAATTGTTACAGGCTGTATATTTTATACACTGTAGTCCCCATCTTTGTGGAAACAGGAGCCCAACTCCAACACCACAACATTTAATAGCCTCTGAGGACCTGCACAGCGAGCCAGATCAAGTTTAAAAGTGATATGCAATATGGCTGTAAAAGGTAAGGTGGGGGTGCTGAAGCAAAGGAGAAAAGTGTGATGAGAGAGCAGGACAGGAGAGGCCGACGTGTGCGGTGTCAGAATAAAACTGGTCAGGTGAGGAAATAGAAGCAGCTTCAACAGGCTTTGTCTTTTCTGCTTAACATTCAGCAGAGCTGCAGCTATCTGTGCTCGCTGCTGGAGACCTTCACCCCCCATGAGGAGTGTGTGTCTGTGGAGCACTCTCATACAAAATGATGGAGGATCATTGGAGGTAAATATCAGAAAAGGACAATAAAACTGAGACCGATTCAATCATCAGTGTAGGTTGGCCAACACAGTGCTTTTCAGTGAGCGTTTTCAAACAGCTCAGAGGCTAAATTATTTCTTTCTTACCTTGGTTTTGTCATCAACCACCCTGAGTCCATCAGCAGAAACCCACAGGACTGCTTTTACTGTCTTTTTGCCGCTCTGCAAAGGCAAAGAACAGGAGGAGAATGTTTATAAATGTTTTTAATTTTGACAAAGGAGTGCAAAAATTACACCTTCTTCATGAGTTCATCCCCATGGGCTGATTTTTAACAAGTTTGGAAGCAAACAAGCATCTAAAGGCTATCTTCATCCCTATCCATCCAGATTTGAAATTATGATTAGATTTGAGTCAATTCTGCAAATCAGACTCATGTGTGGGTGGAGGGGTCAATACTAGGAGCTTGTTTCTACGGTGGCCCTGAAGTGCAAACTGCAACTACAAATCTAAAAGCGCAACTACATTAAGGAAATCACAACTACATAAAGCAAAGCGCAACTACATT